TCCCAATTCATCTCGGCTGCTGTCAAATAGCAGACGAGAAATCTTCGACTGAATTGCTTCAATTTTACTTGAAGGTATATTTATCCTTTGTGGCACGAGTTCTGGATTGCGAGTCGATTATGTCGGTCTGTTATAAGCTCAGAATGTGGTCTTCAGGAATGGTCAAGATTGGAAACTATTTCTGAACAATGTTCTGAGAAGTGGTGAAATAAAATAGCTGCCTGCATCGGTTTGAATCGAAATTTCATGAAGCCTCAGGTGGTAGGTGGAAACGGATCAGATCACCCAGACAAAGTCGAAGTCTTCTTTGTCAGACGGACTTACAAAAGTTGTCGTTTTTTACAAAATTGCTCCCTCCATATATACATATCTTACTACAGATAACTTGGCTAGACAGTTCCCATCTTCACTTGTCATTTCGAACTAGAAGAACAAGTTGTTCCGAAGGTAATTTTGTTAGGTGCGTCAATCAAGCTTGTATGAGATGAACTACAGAAAGAAGCCTTCTGGGGCTCATTACGTCTTACTAAGAGCAGGAATTACACTGTGAATTAGAATTGTGAAGGCAGGCACGAGAAAACCATCAACCATTATTCCTACTGCTTGGTGTCACCATCCAACGGCTCTGAAAGGAATATACAAAAAGTTGAGGACAGCTGTATCACCTAAGGCATAGCTTAGGCCGAATCAATCAGTACACATAAGAAGATGGAGGCACCGTGAAAGAAATGAGCAACACTAGAAGCTCAGTCTCCTTATGACGTATAGGTGAATTCGTTACTATTACTTGTTGGATAAGAAAGCTAATTTTTGAAGGTTAGTTAACAGGTCCCCATGTTCTACAGCCTTCTACTAGACGGGGTTACTGTAAAGACAAAGAACCAAAACTCACTTGAAGTCAAATCCATTTGTTACACCCTCAGAACGCATTCGATCGAGGGCTAAACCAATAGCGCCACCGCTTAGTGAGAACCCCATGAACGTTGGCAGGACATCCTCCACAGCAGCGATTCCAACGGTTACCTAATTATAGGGATTTGTACTGAACCTTATATTGTGTGCAGCTGAAGGCTGAAAACCCTTGAGAATGCTTACAATTTTCTTCTGTTGAGTAACATTCTGCTGTGAAATAATGGGAACAAACAGACAGAAAAGAATCAGCGCCGTCATCCAGAGGTGGAAAACGGTGTTCGGTGGCACAACAAACATCAAAGTGAGGTTTCTCTTCGAAATACGACAACTAGAAGAAACCTTTATTTGAAGCCTTTCAGGTGGGCCTGTTCAGTAGTTGTCGCTGTCACATTTTAGAAGCAATGTTAATAATAATTCGAAAGTTGTTGTAAATAGAAAAAAGGGGTGGACATTGGTTTGTTTCGGAGTCAAGATGAAAATGTTTCGAGGGGAACAATCTGGTCAGTTCGATGCTTTCGTAGCCATAGCATGCCGAACTCTTGTCAATAAAAAATTACCATTTCTTTCATTAGGGCTTGAAAACCTTTTCAAATACCTCCTGTTTACAATGACTTCCAATACAGGACGTGCCAAGTGGTTCTGGAAACTGCACTGAGTGGCAATAGGTAACTGATTCACGTCTTAATGGTTTCTGAGATTTCTTCCTCGAGAGCTTCCTTCTTCCACTCACGGCGGACGAATTCTTAAGCATTGTGAAGTCTGCAGAACCCAACCATTCGCGCTGGGACCAACACCTTGCACGCAAGCAACCTACTACAGCCAGCTGTATGCAATAGCGCGCACATTCGAACAGCTCATCCACTTAACCCTTTCATGCGACTCTTCCCGTCTTATATTACTCCAAATACGCCTATTTCCGCGATTTCTCCGTCTTTTTTGCATTATTCTGTACTGTTACTTTCGTTATTCGTCTAAGAGTAGATACCCTGAAATTATTGTGAACTGAATATTTAGCTCGCCATAGAGATGGAAATAGATGTGGTAAGAGGAGATCGTGCTCTAAAAAAGCATGTTTGACGCTGTTGTATTGGAATCGGCCTAATGTATTCTCATTGAAAGCACATCAAAATACACGTTGAACCGTCTTTGTGCTGGGTAGCGTCGTAAGAATGTGAATACTGTATCACCAACCTCACGCTACATGCACAATGCGAAAGTAGAAAGTTGTTATTGAAGACATCACTCATTTGTTTGATTATACATCATAAATCGGTTCATGTGCCTCTGACTTTGAAGATGATACTGATTTTTCTAATGTAAAGTATCTATCGAGCTGTTGGTTGTAAAGCATAAGATGTTGGATGTGCAGGAGAAACACACTAATTATTAAATACAATTAGAAGTATAGAGAGAAGTCTCGGAGGCATCTCATTATAGGCAGAGAGAACCAGTAAGGTACTGATCTAATGTCGTAAACTACGGAATATCCATCGTGGTCCCTAGCAAATAATCTCTGTACATTGTATTCGATGAAATGGTGCCCGGAATCAGCGTTGATGTCTCCTCAGCTGTACCCAGCTCGGCAGGTAGGCTTGATTCGTCTTTCGTTTGCTCAGAGTTGTTGTCGCTTTCTTGCCTGGCACGTTCAACAGGTCGTGGAGGTTCAGATGAGGAAGCAGTTCAACGGCCAGTCAATCAGAACGTTTCCATCACACCCTCACCCTGTAAAGCTGCATAGTAGGCTGAGTGCAGAGGATCCCTTTCAAAGGTTTTCGCGAATTCCATTCCTTAAACCTTTGGAGAATTCACAGAATTCGAAGACGATAGAAGAAATGAGGAATTTCACTCAATAAGAAGTGTTGTGTACAGTGCAGTTTCATATTCATTGGCAACGAGGACTTCAGAAACGATCATTTTTACCTTTGACGTCCCCTCTTGATCGTGTCTCATAATCTGCATGGTAATCTTTGATGAGCAAATCGTGCGCCTCCTTAGATATATGAATGTGATCAGCTGAACAATTCAATGCACTGAACTTTTTGAATTAGGCGATTGCCTTCGTCTCATTTAATTCATTTCACCATAAAATGGGTAAAGGATAATTTGGAAAAGCTGTGCTCTCATCTCATATGTGAGCATTCATGTTAGGGACTTGCTGGCAAACGTCCAAGGTCCAATCACTGAAAGGCCTGAACCCCCAAAAGTACCACTCGAAAGTTTCCGGCCTGTTCCTGTTTTGAATGTTTTACGAAGGCCATAATTGGTTCATCGTGCCATAACCTTGGTGAGAGGAGTGCTCCCATGTCAGTAAGATAGAATGATATGAAAGCGACATTGTTTCAATTTGGCTGCTCCAAGCGTAAAGCGAAGCTAAAGGCGTGATCATCGAGTTTGCTGTGGTAAGCAGTCTTCATGAAAAAAAATTATGTAACTGGGGGAGACCCGTCTGAACTCCCATTCTTTTACCCAAATCTCAAATGAAGTCGTTTGGAAGAAGGATGGCATTGGTTCTCATACTAACGGTGGTTTCGTTTTTCTTTATTAGCGAATTAACTAACATTTACAGCTTTATTTCCTGGAACCTTTTATATTCTTATTCGTTCAGAAATGTTTTCGGCGTTGTTCCACATACACAGACACTGATTCGAGTACCGTCAGGGACTGAAGTTATGCCCGTAAATCGCCAACCTTGTGAGATCTTTGGATTATATTGGGTTGTTCGAAGAGTTCATGCCGAGTTTGAACACCCTTGGTTCATCAACTGTTTTTAGAAAGATCGTTTGCATAACCTCATAGAGCCATACATTTTCTGGAAGTGTAAGTCTTAATCTATATCTCTTTTTAGGGTTATGTTGATTTCCTTACAAGTTTCTCTGTGTAGTGTTTGAGTGAAAACGGAAGACAATCGCGTGCATTTTCGCCATCTAGTGCTTTTCTTCTGTCGCAAAGGAAAGAATGCAGCTCAAACGCGAAAAGGATCTGTGGCGTTTACGGAGAGGATGCTCTACATGAACGTACAGTTCGTAAGTGGTTTGCGAGATTTAAGCGGAGTGAATTCAACCTCGAAGATCGGCAACGCGCAGGGAGGCCATCATCACTTGAAGAAGATAAAATCAAAATGTAATCGAAAAGGATCGGCGCATCTTTACTCGTGAAATAGGAGAAAGGTTTAATGTCCCAAATCAAGCGTCGATGACCATTTGTTGGGACTTAGTTTTGTTAAGCGCCTCGATGTTTGGGTACCTCGCAAACTGAGCGAGCGCAATTTGATAGACCGCGTATGCGACTCGTTGCTCAAACGGAACGGAAGTGAGCCGTTTCTGAAACGCATGGTAACTGGGGACAAAAAGTGGATTTTGTACAACAACGAGTAGCGGAAACGATCGTGGAGCCTGCCCAGTGAGCCACCACAAGCCACCTCTGAAGCAAAAATCCATGTGCTTATTGGAAGGGAATAATCTACTACGAGCTGTTGCTGCATAACCAAACGATCAATTCGGAAAGGTACTGTGGTCAGCTGGACAATTTGAAGGCAGCGATAGATCAGAAGCGCCCAGAACTGGCCAATTGTAAGGGCATTGTCTTCCAACAGGATAACGGCAGACCACACGTATCTTTGGCCACTCGTCAAGAATTACTGGAGCTTGGGTGGGACGTCTTACCACATCCCCATATAATCCGGATATCGCGCCATCAGAGTACCACCTACGTAGGTCTCTGCAAAATTCCTTGAGTGGAAAATCATGCGATTCATTGGAGGACTGCAAAAACGCACCTAGAGGAATTTTTGTATTCTAAATCTACAACCTTCTATGAAAGTGGTATAATGAAACTACCAGAAAGATGGCGGATCATTGTAGAGCAGTTGGTTAATAAATGCGTTTGTTCTTTTAGAAATTTTCACACAAAGTCGACCCAGAACTCGGCACGAACTTTTCGTACAACCCAATACATGAGTGATAGCAGTCTCCCTAACCACCTGCCACTACAACACTTTTTCCTCTTGATTAACACAAGAGAGGTAATAGAACTTCTTATTACAACTGATTACAATGTACAGGGATATAGTTGGCAACTAATGCCACTAACTAAGTAGCTTCTATAGTGTTGTTACGCAAATAGTTTCTGTACATTGCATCTGTGGAGCCGGTGTCCGGAGTTAACGGCGGTGTCTTCTCAACTGCCTTGTCATCACTGGTAGAAGGGTTCTGTGGTTCATCTTGTTGCTCGGTCTTTTCTTCCTCTTCTTCATCGCTAGCAACCTCTTGGATTGGAGGAGCAGAAGATGAAGCGCTACGGCGGCCAATCAACCAATATGTTTCCATCACGCCTTTTCCCTGAAAATATACTATGTATGCTTCAGTGTCCGGTTCAGGGTTTGCCCGTATTGCAGAGACGAATGCTTCAAAGTTGTTCAACAGCCTTAGGAGGGACGGGAAGAGGAAATATAATTCATTACTGTACACACAGTTTAGACGCATGTTCAGAAACAGTAGTGGTGAGCGTTCATTTTTCAGTAGGGTAAAAGTGATTTTGGAGCGCAGCGAACCAGTAAAGGAGCGAAACAAACCTTCCCGGAGAGGCTTTACAGAATTCGTAATTGCGGGCAGCACTCAAGAATACGAATCGATAGAGGTCTGAGGACACGCCGGAAAAAGCCTCAAAGTTTTCAAGCAAGCACCACTGCATTGCATGTTGGTAAGAATGCACAGATAAGCAGATGTAAGGCAGACAACTGATATGTATAATTCAGCGATCTGAGGTATAACGCCCACCTCTGTTATACATTAAGGGCGTTTGGGGTCAAGCCATTGTATTCAGTCGAGGGACATGAGTTACCCTTTGCGATAGCTGGAGTTTGGAGTTTGGGTGTCACAAAAGCCTTACCTTTATAATAACTTCTCCTCTCAACTGTGTCTCATAATCTGCTCTGTAGTCTTTGATAAGCAGATCGTGCGCTTCTTTGGACATATGAGTGAGACCAGCTGAACTAGTTGAAAGTGTATAAATTCACTTGCAATTTTCACCGGATCCTAAGATTTGTTAACAATCATTTAGAGAAACCCAACGTTTTCCATTGCTCTCCATCCGTGATGATGTGTTCACAGTGTCTCCAAAGAGGCAGTATCGTGGCATACTTAGGCCGACGACTCCAGCTACACATGGGCCTGCGGTGGTTTACGGTCATTTTGAGATCAAATTTTAGTTGGTAGCAAATAATTTGCTTCAAAAATAAAACTGAAAGGAGTTTCTTTTTTTATTCGAGCGCATCGAATTAGCAGTATGCTTGAAGTATGCTAACCAGTCTTAGCTCGAGATAAAACTTGTAGCTGCCTCATTCTTAAAGCATCACAGATATCCACTTCTCGAAAAATAAAGATACCTTGTCAAAGATCTACCTGAATTCACACCAATTCGAAGTTGAACTTTTTCTCTTGGAAGAGCCGATATCCTGAACTCGTCAACAAATTTCATAAACGACAGAGAGAGCTCAGCTATCTCTCTGATGTGTTCATGACCATTCCTCACTGGCAGACCAGAGACGCACAAGTATCCATCACCAATCGATTCCACCTATGAAGACATTTTTCTGAGTTTTGGGATCTACTCGTTCCTTTGGGAGTCTCAAGTGGCTTGCCGACTGAGTGCCGTTCATTGAAAGTCCATGAGAATCATCGTTATTCAAGGGTCCCTTTGTGATAATTCCGTGTGATTTATAGGTAACATAGTTTAAACTCGAAGTAGCGGAATTTGAGTGATGAAGGAAATGAGACAAGCCCGCAAATACCGAGACATACGACAACTTTTGAAGTAATCGTTTTATGACGTGGACAGGGAGTGGTGATGAAAAAATTGGTTGGACGAGTTTTCATTGGCTGCAGGGCATAATACCTATTAGCCTGTGTCAGCTGACAGCGCCGAATGTTAAGCATTTCCACAGATTTCATACACGCTCTTTTTTTGGAATTTGGGGGTAGCGTTGAGCTTGGTGAACCACCTTCGATACCTCATTGCGTCCTACCTCAACAAATCCTCTGGCCGACAACTCTCTTCAACTCTCTTTTCCAGAATTCTAGCGGTAGGAAATTAGAGGAATCTTTTCTATCGCTGGCTGTGCTCATTTACGAAACTAATATAACATTTTTTTTCCTAGAAAAACGGAGGTTTTCATTTCCTACGGAATCTTCACCTTGTATACAGAGTGCTCTTCAATGATGGAATCGAATCCGTTGTACAGGTCGTTGAGAAGATTCACAATCTGCAATGGACAGCATAAATGTTTGACAGGTACTAGAGAGCATTGAGCATGGAAGACCTTACTTGAAAAGCTGTGCATTTGGCAGCTAACTGAGTAAACTTGACGACATCAGAAAAAAACACCGTGACGCTTTCGAAACCCTCTGGTTCGACTGTTTGTCCCAACTTCAGACGATCTGCCACTTGTCTGGAATTCACAATTATTCGTAAAAATCATATGTAACCCAAGGACCAACGAAGCTGCCATAGTAGTCTTTTGGAATGAACCCATTTGAGAGGTTATATTCGGGCTCGCAGACGAGCTTCAAACTCAGCTTCATCAAGGGGGTGAGACAGCAGAGAACGAAGTGTATACATATTCTCCAACAGGAATAATGTTTTCAGGGTGTAAGAAAGAGATATAGGGATCGAGAAACGTGGTTTTCTTCAGGAGAGAAGTTTCAAAGTTCCATCAATAGTCCTTAGCGTCGCCTTCGGAACCATCTAAAGTTGGGAGGTATATGCTCACCTCGGTAACATTCTACCCAGAAGTATGTCAGCTTTCTTCTTTTCTTCCTTCAGTTGCTTCGTTCTTTCCTCAACATCTAACTCTAAGGTTGTCGTGTAGTCTTCCAACATGTTGAACATATGGTCCATCAGATTACTCTTCCTATTTGGCATCATTGTCTAAACAAAGCAACGCCTCTAAGCTACTTCCAACTGAGTCAGACTCCCTTATGACACGCGCTCACCTTCAAGATTCTGCATAGTGTGGCAGCATCGGGTCGATCACCTGGCTTTTCGCTCCAGCAATCACGTATGAGATGGAGCTACAAAGGGTTTTTTTAACTTAAAAGGCCCTGAGTTTTACAAACCTTTCCACTGTAGAAAACAATAACTAATTCAGTGAAACGCAGTGCCAGTCAACTTGAGAAGACTTTTAGAGACTGGTTTCCAGCAGTCACTCAAATAGAAACTACCCAAAAAATCGGCTTTCTTTGCGCCACTCTCAGCTATCATATTCAAAACGGAGAGCTTATCGACCTACATAGTACTGAAGCGAGTGCACGAAGGCGACGCAAGTCTCCTCACAGTCTCATCACATCCAAACAGCTGTTTTAGCGTTTCGCGACTACATGACACTGTGTCGTCTCTACATCTTGTTTGACATCGGTCAAGGGGCGGAGACGCGAACTACGGCAACAACAGGACTTCAGCCCTGGACGTCGAAATTGGGGGAGTGAGATGGTCCTTTCAACAAGTATTGGGGGCCGTTGAGTATTAATAAGGTAAGAACTCAATAACCTTTTTTATCGTGAACAGTGCCTTTAACACTGAAACTCCAGTTTTTTGTTCAGCCTTTCTGTTTAGACTTCCAAGTATTTAACAAAAAGCTGTGAAAAAAGATTTTATCACGATATCGTCGGTCCCTAAACAGTAGGTATTGGAGTTTTAATGTTTGTAGTGTAAAATCGCTGAAAGCGAATCGTCACAATATTTACCAGCGCTACGTTGACTTCGCCGTCGGTGTTGAGTTCTGGTCGTGGTGGGGCATGCCCTCCTTTCTTCAGCAAATAAAGCAGCTCTGAAATTGCATTCGCAAATTGCAAGGTAGAAAAAGCTGAAGTGAGTAATGAATTTTTTCTGAAATATCTCTTTCTCACCATCCGTTCGCTCTTTTCGCTCACTCAGGTCCCATGCCGGCTTTCGCGTAACGACTTCGGAGGCAATAATGGCAAAAGAGTATATGTCGCCCTCCTTAGAGCTTCTCGTTGAAGTGTCGGAAGATCGGATATGTTCGGGGGCCATCCACAGCAACCCTTAACATAAACAATTTTGATTAAAGTGCTAGTCATACGGCTGCTTTCCATTTATTCATGCGGTTTCGCTAGGCCGCTTTTCGTCGATTTGGCATACCCATTTTGCCACTTTTCGAGAGTTTGTTTCTTCATTTTTTCCTCGCTAACACGCTTGCTGCTAAAGGCGGATGTGGCATAGCAGCAAAAAGCTCACCATCACACACGCATCCTCCATTGATCGAATCTTGACTGGATATTCTCCCGGGCTAACTAGACCTTCCATTCTCCCAAGAACGGCTATTAGGGATGCCCGACCCGACAGGGAGATAGAAGCAACGACATGCACATTGGCTGGAAAGCGCAAGTCTATGTATGGGTCACATACGCATCCAGTACGACGGTGCGATTCGAATGGGAGTCTAACGGGTGGTAGCCGTCCCGAAAAAGGGATTCACTAAGTTGAAGACTCTATGCTTTGTGCATCTGCTGATTCGAAGGAAACAAGCCTCAAATGGTTCTTCATAGATGTTTAAAGTTATAGCCGGCTTTACAGCTGTCTGAAAAACTTCTTCCAAACTAGATGCTCACGTTTCTTCATGAGGCGATCATCTTCGCGCAATGATCCGGTACCGTAGTCCGATACCTTGACTTGCCAGCTGTCAGTTACTAGGCAACAATCCGAGCGAAGACGACCATGGGATGATATGAATGAATTATGCAGAAATCGAAGTCCCTTAATAAAAAAATTTATGTAAATGATACTATAGTTGTGCAGTAGAATCATTCCGGAATTCGCTACCTCTGCGATATCCCTCATGATACATAGCATGAAAAATGGATCAAACCACAGAGAGCCTTTCAAAATTAGTTCCTTAAATGTAAATTTCGAGGAATACAAATATTGCTAAGCAAAATAAAATTGCTGAAATAAGAAACTGTATAATATTATCAAAATGAACCTGTAGGGTGCCTCTGGAACACATTCGCCAAATAGCCACATACTCGGCCCCATCAATTGAAAGTCCGATGAATCGATTAACATTATCGTGATCCAATTTCCTCATCTGAACAAGTGACGATTCGTTTCACTCATTAAAGTATTGGGGAATGAAAAAGGTTCTATAGACGAAGTACATCCTAGCCAGTTAGAACCGATGAGGAATGGCATGCCTGAGTGGAGTTGAAGGAATTCAGGGTCATCGCGACTCCTCATAAACCTCCACCTCTAGCTCAAGAAAAGCTTGGAATCTGATTAGAGTCACTTCATCACTACAGTTCCACGGAATCGAGAACGAATCGGAGAGAGTAGCTCTCCACTGAGGTAAGCCCTTGAGGTCTTCAGTTTTGAGCTCGGTTTAGTGGATTCAACCACCACTCACGACAGCAAGGAGGTAACTTCAATTTGCAATAGACTGTGTGATGACTGAGTGAGGAAGATGTTGTGGGATGTTGAGATGTTCAGTCGAACAGTGCTCATGTGTCAATTGCATACTTTCAGGTTTTGAAGAACGCGTTTTGAAGAACGTTGAAGATTTGTCAGTACCGCGTGGAGTTGTATCAAAGGACTGTTTCCATGCATCTCTTTTACCAAGCCTTTTTTATGCATGGCTCATTACTATTAATATATTTGAATGGGAGTCATGGTAGTAATGCAAACCTGTGGAAACCTAGAATGGTCCTCCTCCGTAAGGCCTGTCGCAAAATATTTTGTGGTCAAAACGGGATCGTTCTCGAGGTAGTAGATCTCATAGTCACCAAAATTTGATTCTGTCAGCTTTGAGTCTCCTGTCATCACTGATTTGCCCGACTGGAGAGACCGTTTGCTCTGCTGTTGAAGTTCACGCTAAACACGATAAGTCATTGCAACAAAAGGGAACAATGTTGGAAAGTAATGAAAGGTTTGTCGCACTTTAAATATACATATGTACATTATTCAGTCCGTGAAGTATCTGCCAAAAATTTTCTTCTTTAGCTACCTAGAAACACTATATGTGGGAGCACATCACTGACTTTTATGGGCATTATACATCAGGTATTTTTTCATGATATTGCAATCCAAATCTAAATTATATCGGTAGCCTTATTTCACCTTTTGATTTGAGGCTGTGAAGCTTTGAAACAGATGTGCAGAAAAATATCAGAACGGGCTTCAAGTTCAAGCACTAGACTAAAGTTTCAAATGGCATAAACAGCCGTGAAGCCGGAATAGAGTTTGCGAAAAAGTTGAGTTGAATGTGGGTTGACAGTTTAGTCATTACATGGCCAAGGGGTAATGTAAGGAAGTCATTACACGTATAAGGTAACCGTATAGTTCATGGGTATGCGTGCGGATAAAGTTTATATAAGAACCCCATGAAAGCTTGTAGAAAACCCTGGGATCAATCTAGGCTATTGCGAAATTTTCGACACTTTTGCTCAATCTTGAGATTTATCGCTGCTGAATTGAAGCTTCTTACAGAGGAAGGCGGCTTCCTGAGCTTCACATAAGGGATCTGCCATAACAATCGTTGCTGCTCTCGTTCTTCCTTCCGTAACCTGAAAGGTTATAGATGGAAAACTCGTTAGAAATACACTGTAATAATAAGACTTTCAAGCATTCATCTTCATTGGTTTTCATTATGACTGCGATAGCAATGCTAGCGCAGGGTTATACCTGATATTATAGTCATGAACTCGCTCTGACCTGCACTCAACTGAAAAGGTTCATTACGTTCTTATTGCATGCCTGAATTTACGTCTCTTTCAGAATAGATTTTCCTAGTTCTATTGGGTGACACTACTCGGGAATACCTAAAATCCTGAAGTAAAGGTCGGTCAAAAATTTTCAGTCATGCAGTCAACTACTAACAGGTTTAGAATGAGTGGCGCATCATGAGTAATAGTCCATCATGTTGCTAGTTCATGTACAAGATGATGAACTCACTTAACCACATAGAAAGCAAATATTATCGCAGCCACAATCAGAACTCCAAGCAACGCTGCTCCAATGATAACGTATAGACCGTATTGCTCCCAGAATGGCTTTGGACATTCAGTTCCAGTGTAGCCGCACTTTGGACGAACAAGAGGTCTATGAAAAGAGAGATGAAATTTCTTCTAAAAATGTGAACAATGGTGTTACCGTTGGCCATTTCGAGTAGCCCAAAGAGCGGTCGCTTCGTTCGAGTAGCCCTTCAACATCACCTTGAAAAATATAACACTCTCGTAGCGGCAATAAGGAGCTCAAATACATGGCAGATAGGACAGAAGTGACTTACTGGTGTACCGTTAGCCATTGTAAGGTTTATAACTGTCACTTGGTTGAAATTTGGATCGAGTACGTAAACGGAGAACAGTGGTATACGAGTTCCATTTGAATTTATGGAAACAAATCCAGTCAGCCCTGAAAGGAACAACTCGTCTGTTTCACATCCAGTTTACCAAATACAGAAATGGCGGTGGTTCCACAAGCGGCGAAGCAATGAACTTCCATTTTATTCAGCAATACGAGCATTGAATGACCTTGAAGCGCTTTTAGAATAAATCTTAAAGCTTTTCAAGCAACATCACAAATGTTTTTTTGACATTCACATTAAATGTATCATATTTAACTTTCTGCCAAATCTAACCTCCGAAGAGTTGGTATGGATTGTGAAACAGCGAGTGGTATATTTACAGTTGAAAAAGAGTGGTTCAATACCAGCTTTATCAATTGTCATCGCATACCGAATTACGGCGACATTTGTTGCGTATATGAAAGGCTTTGCAGAGAAGACTTCGACGTCACAGGCTGCTTTCATAGTCCGCCGGCGTGCCAGCCGAGGCAGTGCTAGGAGGGAGAAAGAGGAAGACGGGCAGTCGACGCGGTCGCGTCGCACCCAAGCCCTCTCGAAGGGCTGAAAACAAAGAAAAAGAAGATCAAAAACCATTAGCATAAGCCCCTTCGAAGGGCAAAGGGTTTTTGACCTTGTTTTTCTTTGTTTTTAGCCCTTCGAGAGGGCTTGGGTGGGACGCGACCGCGTCGACCGCCCGTCTTCCTCTCTCCCCCTCCTAGCACTACCTCGGCTGGCACGCCGGCACGTCGGCGGACTATGAAAGCAGCCACTGTCGACGATTTCAGTGCCAAAATAGGTCTGCGAAATAACAGGCTATGGGTCATAGATTTGTCTGAGAGAACAAAAACACTTATCCCACTTATATAATCGGCTAAGTGTGCTGTTGGTGTGTTTGTGTGTTTGTGTGTGTGTGTGTGT